TCCCGGGCAGGCAGCCGCTGGGCCGCACGGGGAGGAGCGGCCTCCAGCCCAGGGTGGGGTCTCTTCTCTTGCAGTTCCTGACTGAGCTTACCAGACTCTTTCAGAAGTGCAGAACTTCGGGCAGTGTTTTCATAACGCTGAAGAAATGTAAGTTTTAAGTCTGTTACTGGATTAAAGAGTGTTCATCTGAAATTCACACTGTTAGCACGTATTTTAAAGGATACAGTTGTAATTCAGAGTATTTGAAAACAAGGGCAGTCGTACGGAAAAATCAATCGTCTTAACTTGAAGGTTATGAGTACTGCAGCTAAGACTGTATTTCAAACTGCAGGAAATATTGTAACTTTCCAATTACTAAACAATAATTGGGAATCCTTGGATTTCTATAAAAGGAGAATTACAGTGTTGCTTTCGTATGTTTGCTTCTCTGGTTTCTGGCGAGCTGGCACTACTTGAGACGTCGAGTGTCCTAGGCTGCAGTTTGACGTGAGTTTAAAACATAGAGCTGCTGCTGAAGCAGGCAGTTCATACAGCGTGTCAGGGGAAGGATTTACATTTTTTACATGTACGTTTCCTGGCAGATGTAGTTTATGGAACAGATCCTTCTGGGGTCACAGAGGAAGGGGTCTGTGAACTATTTGGCAGCAATGTCAGTTCACATGGCCTTAAATTCCGAGGTGTTTTACAAAGCTCCTCATGAGCAGTTTTTAACATCTCATGTCAGGAGGCATCTGGTGATTTCAGTGAAACATGAATAAATATTCTCTGTCTTTTGATACAGATGATGGCCGAACAAAACCAGTCCCACGCAAAGGCCACGTAGAAAGTTTTGAACCAGCAGACAATAAGTGTCTTCTAAGAGCAACTGATGGAAAGAAGAAAATCAGCACAGTGGTAAGTGACAGCTTTGGGTTAGGAAGATTAGTCACCCTACCTGTCTTTTATTTAATGCCCCTTATTTTAAGTGAAATTTGTCTTCACATGTTTCAGGAGAACTACCCTCTTAATTCCAGAGAAACCGTATGGTAGCTAAACACACAGCTGAAGTTGGGATGCTGAAGTGTTAACACTTACCTAAGTCTTAATGGTTACACTCAGCATTACAGATGGGAGAGTAATTTATAGTTGTACTCTGTTTGCTGGATTTTGCTTCAGAATGGCATTGCAGGACAGTAGAAAGGGACCCTCCCTCTTTTCATCAGCCTTGGCTGTTGTGTTGAGTTGGGTGAAATTGTTTGGAGGGAAGGGGGAAACCGCTTCTGGAGATGTGAGCAAAAGGACATGGGCAGATATGGGACCTGCAGAATGAGCACAAATGGTGTGGCTCCAAGGAGGAGAAAAGTCCTGCACACCTATGCTCAAGCATCAGGTGACAAAGAGATAGTTTCCTCTAGACCTCAGTGGAATTACTGAAGGTTCTTACAACCCAGGAAAGAACTGAATGTTCCCAGACTGTGAAACCCCTATAGGAAGGGGATCCTTGTTTCCTAGCAAGAATGTGTGAGTGTAGGTAGACACTTCTAAGCCTTAATCTTGCTTAGCATACTTTTTTTTCCCCTCACATTTACAGAACTATTTGTATTTCAGTTAATTTTAACTACAAGTTGAAAACCTGATGTGTGTTTACTTTGAATGAGAGAGTGGGAAAGGCTTTAGGTAACTTTAGGTCTCCTCTGTGATGAGACCTGGAAAAGGAAAAGACCAAGGAAAAATGTTACTTTGAGAAATAGCTGAGAGAATCTGTCCTGCAACATTTTTGTGGCCCTACAAGTAAATAAAACCTTCCTTAGAATGTTTCTTCACATTCTTCCCATTTGAAAACACACGCATTTGTGATGAATGGGCTCCACAGGATTTTGTCAGTTGAGTAAGGAGTGTTTCCAGTTTTCTGAATCAGTGAAGTCCTACGACATGTCAGTACAGCCTACGTACCACTCAGTGTGATGAGCTGATCCAAATGCTGCTACAAAGCAGTGGGTAAACATGTACTGATACTTGGTTTGTAAGAGAAGCCAGTGTTTTCTTGGTTAACCTCCAGTATTACTTTTGTAGGTGAGTTCAAAGGAAGTAAACAAATTCCAGATGGTAAGTTTACTATGTCTTTTATCTTCCTTTTCTGTAGGTATTGGGGAGTACTGGACAGCTGTGAATGGGATGAGTCAGTGCTGAACTGGTATACAGATTAACCTTAGACTACCCATCTCTCTATCTGTTTTGTTGGGGTTTTTTTTTTTAAAAACAAAAAACGCAACTTTTAATTTCTTTAACTTTCTGCACTGGTTTAGAAACAAGTGTCCCAGAGTTAGGGTATAAGAGCATGATTCTCTAACAGAGCAAATGCAGACACCTCTGCATTAGCAGTATGTTGAATGTTACCTGTAGTATATTGTCACTTAAGTATTTGTTCTTTTAATGGTTCCAATTGTTGTTTCAGGCATATTCAAATTTGCTGAGAGCTAACATGGATGGCTTGAAGAAAAAAGACAAGAAAAGCAAAAACAAGAAGAGTAAAGCAACACAGTGACAGAACAGTGTCCTACCATCACTGTAACAGACTTGACCCTTGCTCAAAGCAAAGTCCATTTCTTTTTGAGTTACCACTTGTCTTTGGCTTTCCTTCCAGCAAGATACTGGGATGTGATCCGTACTTTTGTTTAAACTGAAAGCAGAAGGTGTGGATTGTTGTATGGCAGGAGTATTTACAGGGTTACACTGAAATAGCTTTACACTCAGCTGCCAACTAGTTTTCAACTGATACTGCTGTTTGTTTGGTATCATATGAGTGGGCAGTATAAAGCCTGTTTGGGGGCTAACACAGGGTGAACAGAACTGTACCGTACCAAGAACAAAGTGAGACTGGAGCAGTCGTCTCAGTGACAGATGCCCAGTTTTATAGATAAGCCTCAGTAGTACTAGGGAAAGTGGGTGCCAGCGTGTTACCACAACAGCAGCTTTCCTGTTTCTGTCTTATTTTGAAGGACATGTCTATGTGATGCAGTGCAGATACTCCCAAGGCAGCCAGTACAATGCTTGAGCTCTTGCAGAGCCAGGCAGCTGTGCCTTTGCTCCATGCTGATCCAGTGCTGCTGACCCTGGCTCTGGGGGAGAGAGGGCAGGACTCTGCATCATGTTCCCTTCAGCCATGACTTAAAAATGCTCATGTCATTTAAACCTTTTTTTTTTTTTTTTTTTAAAGCTTCATCCTTCAGTATATTCATGAATTTGAATTTCCCCATACTTCATATTCTAAAGTAGCTCCTTCATCGAGCAGATGTAAAAGGTGAATACTTGTTCCTATTAAACACAATGAGAAATGGACTTCGTTGTTATGACTGATGTGACTTATCTTGGTGAATGGTAACGTTATCTCTGCCTCGTGATACTTTGGGTGTTGCTGTTACAACTCTCACAGTTCTCAGTTCCTTCTTTAAACTTACCTTTTTACATATGTATGCTAAAGGCAATCATTTGAGTTAAAGAAAGAAACAGGAGTAAGCTGTTTAAACAGAATGTACCAGGCTAGGGAGGGACAGTAAACACCAGTAAGTTTCCAGAAATCCCTAACTTTTCTGCCTGTTCACTCCCCTATTGCAAGTAGTTTTGATGTGAAATATAATGCATAGTTACTATGGCTGCTGTAACTTACCTTCAGATTTGCTCAGCCTCATGTTTCCTGTTGGGTTGTGTTACAGTTTAGCTTCAAGAAGATAATTTTAAGATTCCCACCATTACTATGACTTCAACTTCAAACAGTCTGACAACCCATGTGAAAAAAGCTAGTTCAAAACTTTGGTAATGCCTCTAAGGTTACTGTTTTCTCTTAAAAGTCTTGGGTTTAGTTCCTTTAGGTCTGAAACAAGTTTTTCCTGTATCAGATCTTATTTAATCTCCCAGGAAGCTGCTGCTTGATTTGAATGCAAAAGTACAGGCAGGACAAGCATGGGCAACCAGGCTTGCAACAACTCTCAGCTTGAAATCTATCATCCTTTATATAGAAGTTAAAAGAGTACTTAAAAAAAAAAACCAAACACAACAAACCACAAAAAGCTTGTAATACATATTTCAAGAAGGCTCGATAGCCCAACCTTTTATTACATAAAAACCCTTCTTCAAAAAAGTTTAAAAGTTTGCTAGAGCTGAATATAATTCATCCTCTCTCATCCTTGAACTGAGTTTTTAATTTCAGTACTACTATTGCAGCATGTTGACCTAAAAGGCATTCTGAAAGTGTATTTAAAAAAAACAACAAAACTTCTGCACCTGCACAGCTGCTGATCTCTTGTTGCATAAGGGGCAAGAATTACTTGATAATACATATCTGTGGCTGTAGTCAGACTTGCTCCTTAATGACTATAAAACATCTATTTCCACTTTTTGACATACATTTACAGTTTTATATTACATGTGAAATTCAATCTGGACCCATAAAAAGGCATTAGTTGAGTGTCTTGCATTATTACAGCTTTTTGAAATTCCTTTTGACAAAACACTGTTGTAAAAGCATCCTAGAAAAGACACTAAGTACTAAACCAAAACTTTGTATTCGTCTCGGTAACTGTACAGGATGAGTGCAGGAACCCTGCAGAGAGAAGAGAAAGAGTTTTTAAATTTGGGAACTGCAGGATCAAAAGCGACACTACCTGTGGCAAATCTCGGCTTATTGCTAACAGCAAAGACTCGGCAGAAAAGCAGTGGATCTTTTAGTTCCTTTGGCTGTGACTGCATTTCCCCTTCATTCCCTTTCCCCCTATCTAGCCTCTTTCACTTTCATTCAGTGATGTGAAGGCTTATGGCTCAGCAGCATTCAAATGGGAAAGGGAGACTTTGTCAGGGACTGCAGTACATTCACACCCAATGCTGTATGGAATCATTTGTATGCAGTCATTGGGTTCTGTTGCTCACAGCCTTGCAAGCCACAAGAAGAAAAAAAAAAATGTTTCACTTGATATTTAGTTGACAGTAAACAGTAGCAAACCTGAAGCAATTTTGGTGCATCTCTAAGAAAAAGGAATCAAAGTCAATTTTTACTGTCATTTAAAGGTTAAGTAGTACCTTCCAGCTGAACATAGGCTTAAGAAAATGTATTACAAATGAAACCCACAACAGGACATAAATACCTAGGGTTCACTTAACTGTACCAACACATACAGGAGTTTAAAACTAGAGGCTTAAAACTAGATGTGCCCAGACTGTTTCAGCCTTGCCAGAATCCAACAAGGACACTATGAGTTGAACATCAATGTTTTTACGCTTAGAAAACAGCAACAGGCTTTGCTGTACACATTGGGAGAGTATGCATTGTGTTTGCTTAAAGCTGGGCAGTCTGTCAGCTGTGCCAGATTCCCATCGTATTCTGTTAAAGCAGGAGGAATTAAATGTGCTTATGAGTTTAAAAGGCAAGCTGAGTCCCTCCCATGAGTAAAGAGGGTTACTATGTAGTTGAATAGCGGCATACCTGAATGTATATAGTCATTTGCTCTTCAATTTTATGAAAAAAGCAGCAAGAGGTAACAGTGGGTATACATTTTAGAATTTCTTGAAAAGGCTTATAAAAATGAAGAATTTACATGGACAAGAATTTACATTTTACCACAAGTGAGGATTAGATGACCAGTAAACTCTTCCCATAGTGCTCAAGGAACTATACACATTTCCTGAATATTTTTTTCTCCTCAGGAAAAGTGAAAGGGGAGGAAAAATTAAGAGCAGATTATCCAGTAAAGTCTGAATGCAGAAATAATTGATATGTTTTATTTATCTGTAAGAGCTTAACAAATTTACCTCTTTTCCATTTTGATACTGTAAATTTCATCACAAATTGCTTGTAAGTATGGACATCTCTGTTTTGGCCATCGTGACATCAGTTGCCTCACAGTAGCATCAAAGGCTTGTCTGTCTCCATCAAGCTAAGAGGAAAAAAAAAAAAAAAAGACAAGGCACTATGTTACATTCTTACATTCACTCATGAAGGAAATACTTCTCCCAATAAGATTCAGGCTCCTGAACATTGTGTAATGTCAGTGCTCCTTAATTAATGAAGTTTCAAACAAAATTCATATAAACAACATGTGCAACTGGCTTTTAAAGTTTTTTTCTAAGAAAATGTATTAAGAATTTAGTGATCAGTTTCTTAACACAGGTATTTTAGTGATAAAAAGGTGTAAGCAATGAAAAAGGGCTCTATCAGTTTTGCAATGCTGGATAGAATACGAGAACTGTGGTGTAGGAGTGGTCAAAAGTGAATGATGCAAGCCAATTGTGTGCATATTTGGAGAAAAAAAGAGTTTATTTTTAAAGTAAAAGGTGATAAACTATCTCCATGGATAGACGATGAACTAAATATTTTGAAAACATTTTCAAATGTTTCACCGGGGTCTGGTCACCCCACAAGCACTGTTTCAGAGCAGCAGATGTGAGGTAGAAAAGTACTAAATCCACTTCCAAGCAGGATATGGATTTTGTTAGAGTTTGTTTTTCTGGAGGGCGGGGAGGCATCCATCTCTCTAGGAAGAACTTCTGGCTAAAGCTACTGATGTCATTGGAGGAAAGAAAAGAGCTTTGTGTTTCGTGGGTTTTTCTCCCCCTCATTGAGCAGTTTCTGAGTTGTTAAAGGTGTCAATATAAATTTACTACATGTCCCCCTTTTATCTTGGCTTCACTCAGAGATGTTTCCTGTACTCAAAACAATTGCTTTAGTATTTTGGGTCCCTCCTTCATTAACAGCTTCAAGAAACATCTTTGTTGAAACTGATATTATATCTCAGTTTATAACTGATATATAAACTGGTTTCTGAAAATGAGCAGTAAGACTTAATTTCAATTAACTACTGGGGAAAAAGCCCAGAGCTTTGGATTAGGACTTCCTAATGGTGTTTTGTTAACTTGGGCATTTGACAAAAAGATTTTTCTAGCCTCAGTCAACTTCCTTGGGTAAAAAAAATCCCATCAGGTTTTAAAACCTAATTCAAACTCCTTGGAGGAAAAAAACTACCATGGGTGAATTTTACATTCCACTTCATTAGGAACCAGACTTTATAATTTTTTTAATGAGAGTTTTAATGACAGTACTTAATTGCTTACCTCTAATGATAAGAAGTGAATCACAGTTGCTTTTGGCAGATCTACCTGTAAAAACATAATCAAGAAATTAATATTTAGCAGTTCATCTATTATCAGTTTGCCAACTAGAGATTAGCGATACTGAAGGGAGTCAGACTTTTTGATTTCCAAAGAAGCACTCATGCTGACAGAACTGGGAATTTACCAAGTTTTTAAGCATTTTAAACAAACTGTTCATGACAGATTCCATTATGGAACATTTCAAATAGGCATAGGCAAATAGACAGTATGCTTCCTGAAAAGCATATACCATTTTAAAGTGCGTCGTGACATAGTCAGCGACATCTAAAAGCTATATACAAACAGAAGCTATGTTGGTTTAAATCTAAGAGCAAATCTAGGAACAAGTTATTAAATCTACCACAGTAGTTAGCCTAAGTACAGCTTAAGAATTTATGACTACATACTTGTTAAATTTTGTTCTATGCAACTGTCCAATACACAATTCAAGATACTTTTCAAGTATTAAAGAAACATGCCATACGTTTTATTTAACGAGAAGTTTGGTTCATTTGGTATCTCTAAAGTGAGGCTATTGGCAGTAGTTTGTTCCAGATAGCAAATGCATCATCCAATTCAATTAAGAATTTGAAGTTAATTCAGGTTTCTGCCAAATACTTACTGCTAAAATCTCAATCTCACTTGTTTTCTGTTGCAGGCTAGAAATGAATGTCTGAAGTCTCGTTTGCACCTGGCAAAAGATGTGCAAAAGTAAAATACACTGCTTCTGTGACACAGGTTGGGAACACATTTTCTATTTCATAGATGATGAAAACGGAAGAGGCTGTTTCTAACACAAGGTGTAAAATTAATCATATTTAAACTAAAATTCACATTTAATATAATTTTTAGTAAATTCCAAAATAATCCTTGAAGAGCAGACAGGAAGGAGACTGGGGATGAGCCACTCCTGCAGCAGCAGTAAAGACTTGACAATACTGGTACTGTACTCAAGCAGATA